TATATATATATATATATATATATTTTATGTATGTTACCGCAAAACTTTGGACAACGTTAACCGATCTCTATAATTTTTAAGGAAAAAGGATGTGGTTCGATACTAATTTGGTTTAGATTAGATCATGAAGAAATTAACGGTATTCTTAAATTTGTATATGAGAATTGAAATCGGTTTTGTTTTTGCTTGTTGTAACTTATGTTTATAAAAGTCAAATGTTCACCTTTTGTGCTAAGATGCAATGTTTAGCTTTTTACCCCGTAATTCCATTAATAATAATAATTATAATAGATTGGCGCTTAGACTCATGGCAGAAATACAGGCTGCATTCTAAAACGTCGAAATACAAAGCATCAGTCTCTTTTACTACCAAACCCCAGTAGATTGTAATGTCAAGTGTGCGCAACCGCGGCTTGATGGTAGTTTCCAACTATGTTGCGCAAGTAAGACTTTCTTTTAGTGCGGTTTAGAAAACGTTTGGAATTCACCCACACTCGGAGCTTTGCCATTGCCGCCCGTTGTTCAGCAAAAACCTTTTTTCTATATTTTTTGCGATGTTGCTTTAGCAGGGCTTGAACCCAGGCTACCACTACACACCAGCGGCCGCCGTAACTCCATTATAGATGTATAAAAAATTCCAAAAACTAGTATTTTGTCACTTTTACGTAAAATTATCTCAAAAACTGGAGCCAATATAATATTTGTAATTTCAGATTCTGATTCTACAGAAAAAGTCCTTTGAAAATCAGGGTTTACTTTTCGTACCGCAAACATTTTTGCAAATTTTGTTGGCCTGTGTAATATGTATATAGTTAATGTGTTCCTTTAGCCATCAAGTCATTTCCGTACAGGCATTTACAGCATCTTCAGTAATATCTTCTGGAATAAATCTTGACTAAATTTTGTGAATCTATGTGTAAAGGAATAGATTACCCAGCCAGCAAAAAATCGGAAAACGCAAAAAAAAGTCGATGATTATCGGATTTTTGACCGATTACCGATTCCCCATTTCCGGATACCTCAATGATCCGTTTTCCAATTAAAGTGTGCGGCAGAAACGTATGTATGTACAGAAAAGTTCCGAAAATGGTGTGAAAGGATACGTTTTCGGCTGCTTTTGTGAAATTTGTCTGATTGAATTTTTCGTTCAATACACTTTCGTTCTGCACTTCACAGATATTTTTTCATAGTTCAAAAGATATAAAGTAAAATTAGGAAACGCCTGACGGAATTCGAACCCGGCACCTTCTGGAAGCTACGTATCCATGCTACCAAATGTTTAGCTTAAGCAAATAAAATACAATATATATGTATATTCAAAAATCGGATTTTTACCTTCCTGGAAAAACCGAGGCAGAAAGTTTGCCCTAATTTGGCCCAAAACGCACAGTAAATACTTCCTTGCCATATGATTAACATGAGGTCAGAAATAGTTTTTGCTTTTCGGACTTACGAATAATGTTTAGTAAGTACTCTTTTAAGCAACTTATGAAAGTGTTTATACTATATATAATGCTAAGATATATAGCGTCATTAAAATTTATACATACAAGACACCCCAAATTTGCCAACACTACAGCAAAAGTTACAAGAAAAGTTTACCACTTTGCAAAATATGAAAAAAAGAATCGAAATGAATCATCATAATTTCTAATGTCTGAACAAACTATGCGCATATGTATGTACACACTTGCATTTTGGCTTATAATAATTATATTACCAAGTTGTATTTGAAAAATCAATTTTTTATGCAAACTAAGCTACACAATAGGCGCGACTTAAAACATTTCGAAAATGCATTGAACCATACAGAAAAATTCGGTTCAACAACTTTATTTGAAAAGCTTTTATACATTGTTAGCAATCACCGAACAGCTAGACAATGAAAAAAAATGCAAAAATAGACTTCAAACGATATCCTCCCACCATAAGTACACTATTTACCGATGCAGTTTATTCAGTAACTACGAATACATTTGTATACCTTTTTATTGATAAACTTTTCCGTATTCAAAGTTTTGAAATTTTGATATCAATTGCTTAATCACAATGAATAATAGTAATTAAAACGACACCAATTTGCACTGCACAAAAACAATAACATATGTGAGGCAATAAAAATGAAATAACGAGAGAAATTTCATGAAAGAAACCAAAGCAACGAGTTTTTCTAGTACTGTCAATTGCTGATAAAGGTCTAGACACATTTTAGTACCGTAGCGGTCGTTATAGGTCGGTGTTATGCAGAAATTTTGTTTGGCAAACTGCGTGCAATTGTTGTTGCAGCAAACTCGGAGAGAGCGAGTTTGGCGACTCTCACAGCAAACTAATAAAGGCCCGTTTACATACAACTTTGGCGTTGCGTTGGCGTTGGCGTCGCTTCGACAGCAGCGCGAGTGGCGTGTGTTCTTGCTACAATGAACGTTTTGACAGCGCCGGCGATGACATTTGTTAAAGCCACGTGGTAGAGTAAACAACCGGGAAATAAGAAAAAGTTTATAATTTAGTTAATAAAACGCAAACAAATACAACAAAGCCGAATTATTTACGGCGGTATAGCTTCATAGGAAGCCGGCCCAATTATTTAAATCATCAAACAGACATTTGTTTTTTTTCCCCAGTGAAAATATTTGTGTATCCTCGAGCGTTTTTAAAAAAATAATGTCATCTTTTATCGAAATAATATTAATAGTGCTAATTATGTACGAGGCTCGCGAGTGTTTGAAGAAAATTAATTCTCGGCGGCGGGAGTGGGTAAGACCTCTTTACTTAAGTCGCGACATTGATGGACTATTTGTAACCAGTTTTGACGAAATGTACAAAAATGACCCGGAGCAGTTCAAAACTACGGTGAGGATGACTAAGGAGGTGTTTGATTTGCTCTTTGGGCTCGTGAAGGAACGCCTCATAAAGTATTCAAACAGGCCGTCAATTTCTGCAGAAATGAGACTATTCTTAACATTGAAGTAAGTAAATATTTCTAAAGAAAATTTCATACTAATTTTTGTGCATTACATTCATAGTTTCCTAGCACACGGGGGAACTCAGCATTTGTACGCTACAGCGTATAAAATGGGTCGCTCCACAGTCAATAAAATAATTTTGGAAACCTGCGAAGCGCTTTGGAGTGAACTTGGCAGTGTATATTTGTCTGTGCCAAAAAGGCACGAGTGGAAACGTATATCCCATGACTTCAACACTATTTGGAATTTCGCGAACAATGTGCTAGTAGTATAAAGTTAGTGACACTGCGCTTTATAACCAAAGAAAACACGACTATGGTCGCATGTGTAAACGAAAAGAGTGTGGGTCGTTCATGTAACAGAGTGCATAAACTTATAAGATTATCTGCTTGATAAAGTTATCGGTTTAGATGAATACCACTATTATTTGCAAATAACATCTTGCAAAATGGTAAAATTTGCCGTATAAACGCTGAGTTAATTTTTCACCATCGAATAAACAGTGAGTTAGGTATTTGCAAATTATTATTATTTGCAAATAGCTTACGTATAAACGTATTAGATGTGAGATAGGGCCTTTCAATATTAAGGCATCGATATGAAAATTCAAAACTTTATAGATGTTTTTCTCGAGTCTTTGGTTTTTTGAGTTATGACAGTACATATCGTCGCCTTGGTAAAAGCTTGTCGTATGTTAATTTCGGCAATTTTTGTTCTGCGTGACTATTTCGGGTGACGCAAAAAAAAAATTATTTGACTGCGTGCGTACCGAAACGCAGGCCGCGAATATTAGGTTAGGTCGGTGTTGTGCCGAAATTTTGTTTGCGTGCAATTGTTGTTGCAACTAATTTAAATTTGTTTGGTCAAACTGCAGCAAATTCGGTGTTGTCATATACAAAAATTTTAGACAATTGTTGCTATACACATAAAATTTCCGTGATACCGAAAGCCAGAGAACTTAATTTATGCTGTAGGAGCTTCAAAAATTAGGGCACAGTTAATTGCCTATACGATATCATAAAAAATATATATTATGTACATCTGAAATTCTCATTTCGTGCTGGCAATAGCCATGAAAACCATAATGAACGTGCAACCCTGTGCCAAACTCGGCATAACCACCTCCGAGCAAACTAAGCAGCCGCCATTTAATTTGGCAAACAAAAGTTTGTCTGCATAACACCGACCATAGCTGTGCCGCTTTGCCGTACGTGAAGAGTAGAGAGAAATGCATAAAGCCAAAGCATCACTATCTTGTATTTCTAAATCAGTGCGGCCGCTGTCCCTTCAATTGAAGTTTTTCCCTTCACCTTGGAAGCCTTCACTTCGTCACTTCATTTTACTGTTCACTTTCCAAAGAATAGATTAATCTCCAAAATAAAAAATGAGGGTTGCACGAAAAATAAATTAAATGGCTAAAAATATCAAAATATTCGCCATAAAAAGGCATTTGCATTGTTCAACTTTGAATTCTACTTTTGGTTGAACGGCCTTTCAACTTATCGCTTTCAACAAAGTTGGTCGCCAGCCAACATTTACTGCCGGTAGTTCAATGTCTGGTTATCACTACCACTACAGTGTCGACGATTTCGACGTCATGCGTGTTACATGTGATCGATAAAGCAGTCGTTGTACTTAACCGGAGCTTCTACCTCCGATTTGTGGTAATCAGACATTGAACAACCGTCCCTTAGCCATTCAACTTTCTTTTCGTGCAACCCTGTGTGAGTTGAACGCAAAATCGCCTCTTGCGAACACCTTTAAAGCCACAAAGTTTTATCTGGCACGGCTTTTACTTCCAATTAGGTGTTTTCTGCAGCAACCCGGCAAACGTGCTCTATTTGGTATGCCCATTAAATCTAGTTGGGGCACATAAGTACGTCAGTCTTGCAGAGAACGTAAACTTGCTTTTTGACAATTCACACGCAAATTAGCGATATGCAACCTCGTATTATTTACGTTCTCTGATTTTCACATTTTCCGAAGATAGTTTTTTGATACTGCGACCAATAGATTTATTGACTAGAAAAATGGCTCAAAAAAGCGTTAACCCGATTAGCATTTTAAAAAGTATCTACCACAGTGAGTTCCAATGGTAATTATATGCATATTCGGTGGCTGTGCTCGCCGAAAGTGATGTAATAAGATTCGAAGGCATGGTCATGTTTTTAAAATTCATATATGTATGTATTTTCCAGGTCTGTGTTGAAGAGTTTAGGAATTTTCCTGATTGGAGTTCGTATGGCTAAGGAATTTGCCGGAGTGGAAATAATGCCGGCGATAGCTCAACATTAATGCTAGTTGTGTTGTTCTTGGTGTAATCCTCGGGTGAGGATGCCTATTTAATAATGTATAAATCAATAAAACAAGTTATGTCAAAAAAACCAAGCGACATATGTATGTAGATCGTATAGACTTTTATTGTTAAAATGATATCTTCATGTTTTAATAAATAATACATGCTAAAGTTACTTAGATTTGAATACACCCCTACCAAAATCACAATCTAGAATCCAGTACACTGTTACTGATGTCTTGAACTCTTTCATTGTTCATATCGATTTCATTTAGTAGGCTCTGTGCAAGAATCTGTGGTGTCATATCTCGTTTCAAGAAATTAGTTACCAATTGTCTTGAAGGTACACCTCCACCGTGAGCCAGTATTTCACGACGATATTTTTCGCCCGATTCTCGATTAAATGGATTTTCCTCAAAGTATGTTTGCCATATCCATGAAGCAATAGTTTTCGATATTAAATATGCATAGTACTTTGCACCATAACCAACCAAATGTGAAAATCGCAGCTGCCAAGCCGTATTTTCTACATATGGCAAACTGTAGTACTGTGATTGTACTTTTATCAAAGTATCTGTTGTACTTTTATTTTTCTGTATCGGTCCGCTATGATACACATGATCCAGGGCTGAATAGAACACCTTATATACAAGAAATCAAGTAGTTAAAAATTGAGGTTTAAGTAAAATCACCAAATTACCTGAATCTGAGTTTCACTGGCAGAAAACAACTTCTTCGAAGCACATAATCGTAGTAGCATGTCTTCAGAAATTGGCTCTTGTGTCTGAAAGTGGCGAGCAAATGTTCTCAACACCCGAGGATCGCTTGCGAAATATTCCATCAGCACTGAAGGGACCTCAGCAAAATCTGTACTACATCGTGTACCAGTGACATGTTGATATTCAGTACGTGCTAGCATCGAGTGCATTGCATGGCCCATTTCGTGAAACAAGTTGTCAACTCTTGAAGGTGACAGTAGGACTGGTCCTGTCCAATGCGGTTGGGACAGATTCAACATAACAACCACGATTGGCACTTGATATTTGCCATCGGGCAGCATTTTCCCACCTTGTATTGTGAAATGGCAATCCTGATTGGGTTTACCATTACGTTCGAAAAAATCACAGTAAATATAGCCAAGTAAGCCCTCAGACTCGTGCACAACCGATATTTTATAGATGTCATTATTCCAAGCTTCCCCTGGTTCCATTTCGGTATTTTTTAAAGATATTCCATACAATGAGCGCATTATATATTCAAGGCCTTCCATACATCCACCCAAACTAAAGTACGGCAAGAATTCACTGGTATTCGCATTTAAGGATTTACGTTCCATTTGTGAGGTAAAATACGGGGGATCCCATGAAGCAAGGCGAGCATCAGCTATTCCGCTATCTTGACGCTACATTAATAGAACGATATTATTTGTAAAAACATACATATATATATTTTGGTTTTGGTACCTTCATTTGTTCCATAATACGGAAATCTGCGTCTGCACGAGGGCGAAGACCATGAGACAGTTCATCCAGAAACTCTTTAACCATCTGTGGATGCTCTACAGTGCTACCATTCAGTGCTCGATGTGCATAGGTTTCGAAACCACAAGTTCGAGCTAGTTCATGGCGACATAACAATAAATCTGAGAGCAGTTGATCTTGCTGCTGAGATGGTTGAAGGAATAGGCGATAAGCGGTTTCTCGTGCTTGATTATTTGACGAGTTCGTATATAAACCGGAAACAAGAACGTTGTCACCCTCCGAAGGAAAACTTATCATTAACGTAAAACAAGTAACAATTAATAACTATGTAATTTGTACTAGTCGGTCAGTAACTTACTAACTACGAACTGATGATGGAACATCACTGCGTCGAACAATCGTCGGCTGTACCGCACCAGTCATGAATTTTTGTCCCAACTGCAAAATATAATCATTGAGTCGAACAACTTTTTGGCGTTCATTTTCCGGTAGATGAATGCCCGATTGTTCGAAATCAAACAAGAATAGTTTGGATACATGTTTATCTACGTCGCTGGTAGGGATAAAATCACCATTTTCTACTACATCCCGTAGCGCCATATATAAAGGTTTGTGCGTATTTAGATTTTCTACAATCCCACTTATAGTAATACATGCTTCCTCTGCAGCTTGGCTATATTTGATTTTGGGATGTGCAATTCGTATAAATTCAGCTAAATCAGCTACTTTACAAAGCGAGTCAGAGAGTTCGTCAAAAATCTCGACCTGCATTTAAATTTGTTATAGAAAAATTAAATAGTATTTATAATGGGCTTACCATTTTTCGTCGGCGATTAGTCGATATAGCTTCAGTTATTAATTCATCTGTTTTATTTGCTACATTGTCGCGCATTAGGTAAAATCCTTCAAAGGAACGCAATTCGGGTAGACAAAAGAGCCCCTAAAATTGATGGATATTTAGGCCTCTCAGCCATTTAAAGGTAGCTTTTTTTAAGATAACTTACCGACTCATCTCGCGTAAAGTTGATTTTCTTATATGGAGGAGAGTTGAATGCTGTGGCCAAAGGAGTAGACCATGTTGAGACATTTTGACGTAATTGCTTGAGCGCGGATACAACTGCTCCTTTTCTACCAGTCCTTATCATTTCCAGTGTTCCTGGCTTTTGAAGAGGTAAATGGAAAACTGTCAACCAAAGCGAATTTATACAAGGTAATATTAACAGAACAAAAACAAAAATTACAACAACAAAGTATACGTCCATTGACAATCAGTACGAACAAGGCGAATTCATACAAGGCGGTGTTGTCCAATCAGCTGATTTCTTCTTCTTTCCTTCGCCTTACATGTATTTTGTTTTTGCTTTTACTGATTTGACAGCATGCCCCTGAATAGCAACAACAAAATACATGTAAACTTTGAGGCGAATTGAGATTTGAAATTTTGCACCTGATACAAAATACATGTCAAGGCGAATTTATACAAGGTGGTGTTGATGGCGAATTTAGATTTTCGCCGAGGTACGTCTTAATGTCAAAATGATTTGTTTGTTGTAAAATGAATTCGCCTTGTTTACAACAAACACTTAATTTTGACATGCAGTAGTACCGCGGCGAAAATTTAATTCGCCATCAACACCACCTTGTATAAATTCGCCTTGAGTACCAAGGTGTATTTAACTTTAACTTTGTTGTAATGAAATTACAACAAACACATCATTTTGACCAACGCAAGGCGAATTTATAAAAGGTGGTGTTGTAAAATCAGCTGATTTCTTCGCCTTACGGCCCTGTCACACGGTCAGTAATAATCACGATATTTGGATCGCGATCCATATTGATGGATTGGTGGATCGCGCACGAATGCTACATGCTCAATATTTACCGCGTCAGTATTTGCATAATTTTTGTGCTGAACGCTTATCACGATGCAAGAAAATATTTTTATTTTGTATGAATAATTTGCAGATAATGCATTCCACAATTAATTTAAAATTTCCCATGTTAATTAAAATTTTTTCAATTTGTTTTGAAAGCTTTTAAGCAACGAGAGCGAAAGCATAGCGAATACGTTTTCGATGTTCACATTATGAGAGTACAAGATGCATGATGCAATAATACAAGGTGGTATCAGTTGTGACAGCTCGCTTTGACACTACCTTATCTCAGTAGAATGAGAAGAAAAACGGGAAGAAATGAATCCCCATATGGGGGAAGAATATAAAATTTCACATTTTCTGCTTAACAAAATATGCTTTTTTATAGTGTATTCGTTATGAAATGAAATGAAATAAGATAAAATATCTGTTTAAGAAAACAAAGTGTGTATACTGAGAAAAAATAAAAAGCATTCAACTATATTAATGGGCAAAGAATAGTGAAAGAAGTAACACTGTTTCACGTAAGGTAGTCAATATGGCGGAATTAGAGCGAGAAGTTGCCAACTGATAACACCTTGTATTATTGCACCATGCATCAATTCGCTCCAAACTTTACATGTATTTTGTTTTTGCTTTTGATGGGCGTGCTGTCAATAATCATATTGCCAGATTTCCATGGTAATTGAAATGTAAAATTCATTACGTCGTTCAAGCATGTGTAAATATAACATAATCCCACGTCTCCACCTTCTACTAAATGTGTGTTAACATCTGTGAAATTTCCGTTTTAACTTTGTCCCGTTTACTCATGTGGGCAACTTGCTGTATTACGCTGCGTTTACTTAAGACAATTTGAGACAAGACAATTGAGAGTATCTATTAGTTGTCAAATTGTTGTGTAAAGTAGGCGTCCAGACAATTAGAAAGAACGAATTTTTTTTTCAGGCGAAACTCAGGATAAGGCAGAATGAGAGAAGTGTGAGTGCATTACAAAAATGTGTGAATGCATTGCAACTGTCTTCCTTACTTATAGAAATGTACGATGGTGTAAATCCCGCTATTTACAATGTTAATAAACAGAGCTTAGGCAAGCAATACACACTATGACTATTCATGTCTGCAAACGCCAAAAATACTTCAATAAAAAATTACAGCCCTTTGTTACATAATTTTTTTTACATTCATCTGGAATTTTTAACAATCACGTAATGCAATGCAACACTGTCCTAATTATACCTCTTCAAGCATATCTTGCTATCCATTTTGTTTTTGTGCTGCTGGGCTACAACAATGGCCGACATTGTATATTTATTATTATTAATTTCGATATTTCCATTACAAAACTCAAAAGGTACTTTAGAATTTACCACAAATATTTTTAAAATTGCTCCTACTTAAGTCAGGGAGCATTTAACGTAAATATTTAGTGGAACTCGTGTTGGAATGCAGAGCTATTTAAGTAACTGCTATGTGGTTTTGTTCCGAAGAGCTTTGCGTTGGTGCTGTTTAGCGACGAAAGTCTTTAGACCATTTGCGGTTATGTATTGCTGTAGATATACATAATCATATAGGGTTTGAACATATTCAATATATTTATCATACATGCAAAGTAGTTAAAATGCATTGAGGTTTACATAAAAAGTATTTCGATTTATGTTTCAGCGGTTGCCGAAATTAGTGGCCGCTTATTAGACGAAAATCAAGAAAATTTTGATCTGGAAATGTCACACACAAACGAAAAGGAGCATTCATCGGTACCACGCAATTCCTTACAATCTCATCCCAGGTATTTTTGCAAGTACAGAGTACGGTTTATGTACATAAGTTGATATACAACCCTATACAATATCCAATATAGTTTAGTAAATAAGATTAACAAATTCGTTAAAAAATCCCCTTTCCGCTTACCAAAGGAGGCACACAAAATCTAAACGTCGTATGAAACGAAGGTAACTAATTCTAGTATGCAATGGTTAGATAATGTATTTAACCAAATTAAATCGGTGTTTTGTTTTAAAAATATTCAGTGCTATCAAATAGTTTATACAAATTTTTATTTTTGATGTTTTTTGTTAAAACTTTTTGTGTGCGCCTTTTGCTCATTTGTTCATAGCTTTATATTATAATAGCCTAAAAACATATTTCATACATTTTTTCAGATTTAAGTGTTACGCATGCGAAGCGCCCTGCAAAAATGCCACACAGCATGCACATATGTGCCAGAATGCAATACAGGTTTGTATATATTTTAGGACAAAATTAATTTTTTCGTGATGACGAACATTTCAATTCGTATTAGTGCTGGAAGTCACGCACACGCAGTGCATATGGCGAGGAGAAAGTATCACGAGGTTGTACCACGTCACCAGATCAGCTCCCCTTAATTTGTAACCAAAACACTTTAGGACCTCGTAAAAGAGCTGTGATGCATGTTAATATAGTATGTTGCTCTGGAGACTATTGTAATGACGGAGATTTTCCTGAGCTGCCTCCAATTGTAAACGGTATGTTTTATAATTTTTGCTTATTTCCATTAACTTCGTACTTGTAACAATATTTAATAAAAAAAAATGTAATAGATGAAGTTACACGATTATCTGCCGACCTAAGCAATACATTTAAAATGACTCTGGCAGTATTAGGTCCAGTATTCGTAATTGGCTTAATGGCGGCTATGGTTTATTATTTCATGATACGTCATCATCGAAAGAGCCTTATGGCTTCGCGTATAAAAAATGATCCAGATGTGTATTTAGTGAACGACGAGTTATTGCGAGCTACCAGCGCTGGTGACAGCACACTAAGAGTAAGTTGATTTCGTTAAAAAAAAATAATACATACAATAACTTAAATATTCGGTCAAAGGAATATCTCCAACATCCAATGACCTCGGGTTCTGGCAGCGGTTTACCCTTATTAGTACAGCGAACACTTGCGAAGCAGGTAACTTTAGTTGAATGTATTGGACGCGGAAAGTATGGTGAAGTATGGAGAGGACAATGGCATGGTGAAAATATTGCTGTAAAAATTTTTCTTACTCGAGATGAAAAGTCTTGGAAGCGAGAAACCGAAATATATAGGTAAGCTTCAAAAGCGATGTATTATCGTCGATACTGCAAAATATCACATGTGAGATAACGCTGCTAAAATGGCAGTCGAAGATCATTTGTCATATTTATCCTTTTTGTAAGGATGGCCGAAATATGTGAAACTATAATTTGCTTAATTTTGTAATGTAATATTTTTAGCACAATTTTACTACGTCATGAAAATATTCTGGGTTACATTGGCTCTGATATGACCTCTCGAAACTTCTGTACTCAGTTGTGGCTATTAACACACTATTATCCGAATGGTTCTCTTTTTGATCATCTGAATCGCAACGCTCTAAGCCATAATGATATGGTGTTAATCTGCTTGTCTATTGCTAACGGACTCGTACATTTGCATACTGAAATTCTAGGAACAGAAGTGGGTGATAATATAAAATATACATTTCTTAACTATTTGTCTAACATATTTCAATAATTTAGGGTAAACCTGCGATGGCTCATCGTGATTTAAAATCGAAAAACATACTGGTGAAATCAGATGGTACATGTGTAATAGCCGATTTCGGTTTGGCTGTAACACATTCCCATGTCACCGGCAAACTGGATTTAGGAAATAACCCCAAAGTCGGCACAAAACGGTACATGTCCCCCGAAGTTTTAGATGAGAGGTGGGTTATATACATAAATTGAAAAAAAAAAATAACTTTTCACTTATTTTATATGTGCATTTAAGTATATTCATAAATAATTTTGCTTTTAGTATTAATATGCAATGTTTTGAGGCATTGCGCCGAACTGATATCTATGCACTCGGTCTGGTACTGTGGGAAGTATGTCGTCGAACTATTTCAGGAGGCATTGCAGAGGAGTACAAAGTGCCTTTTTACGATGTTGTTCCGTCGGACCCAAGCTTCGAGGATATGCGCAAGGTTGTGTGTGTGGATAATTATCGACCTGCGTTTCCGAACCGTTGGGCTTCTGATCCGGTACATTACCAATACATTAAATACTAATTATTTCAAAAAGACTAGATTTCATGATTTTGTTTTAGTTACTTGCTGGAATGTCGAAGTTAATGAAGGAATGTTGGCATCAAAATCCCAATGTACGATTACCTGCCTTGAGAATACGGAAAACTATACAAAAACTAGCTTCCGCAGACGAAAAAATACGTCTGAATTATGATGAAGTTTGTGTTTAGTGTCTAAGTAAATTTATAAGTTAAGATAAATAGATTCTAATGCTAAAATTGACAGTTTAAGGGTAAAATGGTAGTTAATTCTAAGAAGAATAATTTAAATTGAAATAGCATATTTAAGTATTACTACTATACTCAAGAATGATAAAATATTTAAACGCATATGCTATGTACGAGAAATGAATGTGCGGTTGCGAGTCTTACGGTGTGAAATAGTGATTGATGCTGTATGCAATTTAGTATATACATATATATTTAGTTTTAGTTATGAAAACCACAACATATTGATAATACATGCATACATAACTAAGCATATAAAATTAACCTATGCATCCTTATTTCTGATGCGTGGAAAAATGTATGTATACAATAATGCATACTTATTAAATGAAAGACACGCTTAAGAAGACTAATTACTTTTTACATATAAATTTTTTATCTTTATGTGCCTTGAGAACGTGTTGCTGATGCCTTTTTTCAAACATACATAAAAATACCCTAAGCTTTAACACTTTTATTAGAATTTATGTATTATTTATTCACTTCCCTCTGGTTTCATCTGACGCATTCGCAAATAAGTATTCAAATTAAATTAAAATAAAACCTAGTATGTTCCTTGCTTGGTCTGTAAATAAACTCGCTACGAAAAAGTATTTTAATTTGTTCAAGAAGCTTATGTTGCGTACACTCTCATTGGAACTTAAAACATAGTCGAAAATAATTGTATGACCTCACTTACCTGCATATACGTATGCAAGCATTTTGTTTGCATGCAAAATAGATCTTACATACGAAATATATCGTACGTGAGCATATAACGCGAATATGTTTTAACGATCACAAAGAATACCCGCAGTTTTGGCTAATTTAAATAAGGACTATTTTCACAACGCAAGTTAACTATTGTTCGTCAGTTACTTTCCACTGTCCCTAAAGCGTACATGATATGTATGTATATTAAAAGTAAAAGCAACACCGCCACAACCCTGAATAGATGTGTACCATCGCCTTTAAAACAAATTTAACTAACAAGTAATTGGCTAAGATAAATATATTCATACATTAATATGTATTTAGGCAGAGCATAATACTTGGTAACTATATTTCATCGAGTTACTGATTTGCTGCAAGTCCTTTAATAGATATAAATATGTAGGTATACGTAGTATTAAGCAAAATTTATTGTACAAAATAGAGTTCATGGTCTATAATAAAAGAAAGTTTTAGTAGAAAAAGATTTTGTTGCAGAAATTTCATTATTTAGTAACGGGTGATTTTTTAAGAGCTTGATAACTTTTTTTTAAAAAAAAACGCATAAAATTTGCAAAATCTCATCGGTTCTTTATTTGAAACGTTAGATTGGTCCATGACATTTACTTTTTGAAGATAATTTCATTTAAATGTTGACCGCGGCTGCGTCTTAGGTGGTCCATTCGGAAAGTCCAATTTTGGGCAACTTTTTCGAGCATTTNCATCTTTCTCTTTGACACCATGTCTGAAATCCCACGTGATCTGTCAAATACTAATGCATGAAAATCCTAACCTCAAAAAAATCACCCTTTAATATCTATGGCTTTCCGTTAGCTTACACCAAATCATTTTAGATTTAAGCTGTAAATCTCATTTGGATTTTTTTCTAATATTTGTGGAGTTTTGTTGTGATAACAATAAAATCTAGTCCTCGAGCCAAGGCGAATTTATATAAGGTGGTGTTACTAGCTCAGCTGATTTTGTGTATGTGTTTCGCCGCACGGCTTCTGATATCAAATTGAAAAATTTTGTTTGAATTTCTACACACACTCTTACAGATTTTGACAGTTTATGCCGCCAAAGCAAAAACAAAATACATGTAAATTTTTGTTTTTGTACTCCTGCTATCACCTTATATTAATTCGCCTTGCCTCGAAGTGAGTTCATTCTTCGACCTCGACCTAAAATGTATTTAAAAAAGAACCATCAAATTGAAAATTGAAAACAAATTGGGCCGTATCAAGGCGTATTTATATAAGGTGGTGTTACTAGCTCAGCTGATTTTGTGTAATTCGCCTTGGGCCGTATGAATAAAAATAAGCAATTGCTTTTTCTTAAAATTTCAGATTTTCACTCTTACAGATTTTGACAGTTTATGCCGCCAAAGCAAAAACAAAATACATGTAAATTTTTGTTTTTGTACTCCTGCTATCACCTTATATTAATTCGCCTTGCCTCGAAGTGAGTTCATTCTTCGACCTCGACCTAAAATGTATTTAAAAAAGAACCATCAAATTGAAAATTGAAAACAAATTGGGCCGTATCAAGGCGTATTTATATAAGGTGGTGTTACTAGCTCAGCTGATTTTGTGTAATTCGCCTTGGGCCGTATGAATAAAAATAAGCAATTGCTTTTTCTTAAAATTTCAGATTTTCACTCTTACAGATTTTGACAGTTTATGCCGCCAAAGCAAAAACAAAATACATGTAAATTTTTGTTTTTGTACTCCTGCTATCACCTTATATTAATTCGCCTTGGTTCAAAGCTGTTGTTGTTTGAGATTGAAAATGAGAATGTGTGTGTGAGTTTTAGTTTTGATTTTAAAATTATAATAGGTTGTATAGTAACCAATAGTTCAGTACTAATTTGTACTGGAACCTGCAAATTTTTACTGGAAAAGTGTATGATAACCCAAAAAATTTGCAGGAGAGCAACAAATCGAGAGCGCAACAACACGGGAGAGCTGCAAATTCTTGCTAGTGAAATTTCTACTAGCAGAAATTAGCTAGCAGAAGAAGAAGAAGAATAAATGTCAAAAGCCGCCATTTGTTGAATTGGTTTAGCACAAACAAAAGTAAAATAAGTGAAAATTGAAATATTAATGATGTACTAGACTGTGTAAGTGCTTGTGTGAAAAGCAAAGAGTTTAAAACCGATTTATAAATAGTAAAATGTTTACAGCAGAATATCAAAAGGGTGCAACAACTATTCACTTGCAAGTTTTTACTAGTTTTGCGTTCAGTAACTTTTTCTGCTAGTTTTCTCTCCTTGTCAATTTTACGCTCTATTTTGCTTTTACGCTCTGGCTGCAATGTTTTACTGGAGAAGTTACTATACAAACCTATTGTTGGCAAACGTCAGACTGCCTCTCAATGGTTTTACCTTGTTATGTTTTTATCATGGGTTCTACCTTACTATATTTTTATCATGGTTCTACCTTCTTATTTTTTTATCATGGTTTTTATTCATACGGCCCATTGTATGGATTTTGAGTCGTTTTGTTTATATCTCTTGACATCATGGTACAATAGCATTAACGAAAGACACAAGATCATGCCTTAAGGAAAGAAAGAAAAAAGTTATTTTCTAGCTGTTGAAATCTCGACGCCATCTTTAGTTATGTTTTCGTATCCTCCAGCAAAAAATATCCAGTAACTTGCCAGTAACCAAATTTCGGAGAGTAAGCCAATATTTACTCCCAATGAGTGAAATATGCAAGAAAGTACGAAAACGCAAAACCAGCAAGAAGTTGCTAGTTTTATGAACAGCTGATTAATTTTTTATTTTTCGATGCAATTTTCTTAGAAAACTAGTGTTTTCCATCTTATTATATATTTAAATAGGTTTATTTTGTCAATTCCAACTCTAAAAGCACCAAAAACAATTATCTTCTTAATGTGATTTACAATAAGCATCATGCCATCAGCTGTTTTTCTTACTAGCAAATAGTTGCTAGTAAAAATTTATCCAGTAAAAATCCAGTAAAACTTGCAAGTTCAACTGTCATTTTTGCTCTCTCAATTTCCCCTCTTTTGCTAGTTTCTTACAAGTTTTTGGGTACGAAAACGATATCCAGTAAAAAACCAGTAAAATTAGTACTGGATTTACAGGATAGTGCGTACGCGAACAGGGCTTTTGTTGTAAGAAGTAAACAACGAAGAGAACAAAAAAAATCGCGTAATTGTTGAACGCATGAATAATCATTTTTATTATGCAAATTCTTCTATAAATCATGCCGTTGTGTTAAATTATTCTTTACCTTATGTGTGCACACGTTGTCACAAGCGAAAATTAAAAAAGCCACCACCAAATTGTAAACAACGAACAAATGTAAATAAACGGCTAATGTCAAAGTCGCCCAACTTTTTTCCTAAATGCGATTATAACGGGCTACTAAGAAGAAGACGTGATCTTGTATTTTTGGTTCATGATAAAGAGTACCCCACGATGGAAATAACTCAATCGATATCGATATTGTTCAGCCCGATATATCGCCATATAGATTTTACATGCAATGAATTAAATCGATTCATGATATCGATACTTTCTTAAATATCGAACATTCCTACCTTGTCGAATTCTATGCAAACGAATAATTGGAAATGGCGGAATGGCAAAGAATTATTAGAAAGAAAACAGAGAAACAAAAACACAAGGCCTAAAAGGTATGTACATGCATACAAATATATAAGTACATGTAATTTCCCACTACAAAACGCACTACTGGTCAAGCGTCCGAGCATTTTACAAGAAAACTCCAATAATTTTACTGGTGAATAGTTTAAAAAGTTTATCATCAATATAATCATTCCTTAAGCGCAATTACTTACATAATAAAAACCGAAAAAGGCTCATTCAATTTCTAATGAGCACAAATCAAGACTATTACCGATAACGTGATTGCTCGTTGTGTAAACTACATACTTTTGATCCATTAAAATTAACAAGATCAAAGTCATTACTAATACATACATATTTCACTTGCGCGAACAAGTATTAATTTTCAGATCGCAAATAAGCGAAGTTACCTATTTATAAATCCATCGAAAGTTCTTAATTCCTAACCCAACATGTATATACTTTTGCATACATAATTCTGGGACAACAATCAAAATTCTAAGTATTTATTGGTGTGTATAATCAAGAAGTAGTTGTAATTTCTATAGTAAATTCGTTCAAATTAAGACCGACTATTCCAGTGATTATTTTGCTTTTAAGAAAAATCAAAAAACAGGAAACGTAAAATACTGTACAAGGAACGGGAGTAACTTTAAACCCACAAAAAAAAAAAAAGGAAACGTAAAATACATACATAAATATATGGTATCAGCTGCAATTGGTTTAGAAATTTATTAAAAAAAGGAGAATAGAAAAAGGAACGATTAAAAATGACATTGGCTACGGCTAGTTTGGATCAGCCGCAATCGCAGCGGGACAACCATAATTCCTTGGGCCGAAACACAATGGACATAGAGGTGAGTTGGGAATTGATAGGCAAGTGGAAGATTTGCTAATTTTAATTAGGGAAAATGATTCAGAGAGAATCTAAAAACTGAGGGCATAGTACAAAGCACAATTAATCATGATTAGTGAGTTCGTAGCTTACCAGTGAATAAATATGCGTATTTGTATTGTGTGGAGAAGTTGTGTAAGTGAGGAAAATGTAATGTTAAAGGAAATAAAAATATGTATTATGCAAATTCGAGTACATATGGAAATTAACTTTAATATAATATCGCTTTGCGAAATACATAGTATGTATATTAATATATGTACATATATACATATGTATAAGGTGGGATATAATTCTTTAGAGTAAGCATTACAAGAATTATATAGTGGGAACTTAAAACGTTTGTTATGCTATTGTTTGCGGAAACTATTATTTGGTATATTTAATAGAAAAAGCCCTTATTCTTATTTACATTGCTCTGCTAATGATTTTAGTTTATTAAGTAGTAATTATTGCTTCTAACTTGACAGCACTTTGGCTCTTTATTAGTTTTTCGTAGCAGTCAGTTGTTTTAAATTTTAAATTATTCACTTTCAGGAATGCAAGGAGAGACAATTTTGGCTTTGGAAATGGTTGTTTAACTGGACTGCCAGTTCTCCCAACATGTTACGCGCAGTCGAAAAAAAGATTTTATCCTTCCTAAAAACGCCGTACCGCGGTTTCTTTGTTGATATTGGACCGGCAATCGGCGAAGCGGATAAAGTATGGACAATCAGCCTGAATACAGACTCAAAAGAAGTGCCTTTAGTTATGCTACATGGCTTAGGTGCTGGTGTGGCTATGTGGGTCATGAATTTAGATGCACTAGCCAAAGATCGTCCAGTATATGCTATGGATGTATTGGGTTTTGGCCGCAGTTCGAGGCCTACTTTCTCGAACGATGCACTTATTTGTGAGAAGCAATTTGTTAAGTCTGTAGAAGAGTGGCGACGCGAAATGAATATTAATAATATGGTATTATTAGGCCATTCAATGGGCGGTTTTATAGCATCTAGTTATGCGCTGTCATATCCGGAAAGAGTCAACCATCTCATATTAGCCGATCCGTGGGGTTTTCCAGAAAAACCTGCCGATGTAAACAACACCCGCCAAATACCACTCTGGGTTCGTGCTATAGCATATGCGCTAACACCTCTTAATCCACTATGGGCATTACGTGCCGCCGGACCTCTTGGTCAATGGGTCGTGGAAAAGACCCGACCGGATATAACTCGTAAATTCGCAGCGGCTGTTGAAGAAGATAACAATCTATTGCCGCAATACATTCATCAATGCAATGCACAAACACCATCCGGTGAATCTGCTTTCCATGCAATGATGTCATCATTTGGTTGGGCGAAACATCCAATGATACATCGTATTAAGGATGTACGTGCAGATATTCCTATAACTTTCATATATGGCTCACGATCATGGATTGATTCGTCATCAGGGGAAAAGATTAAAGCTCAACGCCAAGATTCGCTTGTGGATATTAAAATTGTAACGGGTGCGGGTCATCATGTATATGCTGACAAACCGGAGGTTTTCAATCGATATGTTAACGAGGCTTGTGAATTATATAAATCATATTGCAAAGAAGCCGCTATTCGAGAGACCACAGAATCGGATGATGAAATTAGTAATGGGGCATTAAACGCTAAAGTGCAAAAACAGGATCAGACTTCAGAAAACACATTGCCAGAGGGACAACAAACAGATAATGTGGTGACAAATATCAAAGCACAATAACACTGTAATGTTAATAGTCAATGAACACACACTTTATACCTGCAGTCAGTTTAAATTTTTCAACCTATCTGTATTAGCCAATAAATAGCACATAGTATTAGCCCAAATATTTTAACAAAATGTAAACTTATTGCTGTCATTACTAATCTTTTGACTAAAAATAAAAAAGAACACAAATAATTAAGTGTTTTTATAATAAATACATAAATTTGAGGACTGTTCCGAAATGCATTAAGCCAAAGCAGCAGGCTCTTTTATTTCTAAACTATAATTGATGGAAATGTCTTATTTACGCAACTAAGTTCCAATTCGGCATTTAACCGTAGGTGCGCATATTGGACATTTCCGTCAATTATAGTGTAGAAATAAGAGACTGATGCTTCGGCTTCATGCATTTCTGAACGCACCCATGTACCCTATGCCGCTATAAATTTATAAATTATGAAATTCAGTAATTCTCCCTCACATTTTCACAAATCAAAGCTCCGATGAATAGGCAAAATTTCAAATTAATTACTTATCTATTGTACCCGCTGATAAAGGTTTGTTATCGTGGGCATATGCACATATATATTTGTATAAATTGTACGTAAGTGCACTTATCCACAAATTGCTAGCTGCATATGGGCAATTTGTAACCATGCAGATATGCTCCGCGGTGCCTTGAAAGTATTTTTCGGTTGTTTTCAAAGCAAATACATATGCATATAGTACATATCATGATCCGAAAGGTATAAAACTCGATAAAAACGGGTCTAAAGTTAACAGTTTCCATACTCTCCCATGGTTGAAATCAAAACACATTTTCATTTAATTTAACCGTTCTTCAAAAGTATATTAATCTAAACCTAGAGTGCTTGCGCTATAGGCAAACAATTTGTATTATTTTATAAAATTATACATTTGCAAAAATTGTTTGTTGCCTTAAACTGTCAAACTTAAGTTTTATTGTGTGATTATACCTACAATAATTTCAAATTACATAACTCTTAATTGCAAAAAAACACTAGACTAATGTGGAGACTCTTGGGGAAAACTATTTTCGAGCTCATCATCATATGGAGAAAGAAGGGTATGTTGTTTTTACATCAAAATACTGCTTCAATTTATGCCGGTAGGTACATTTATGCACATATCGTTACCTTTATATAGAAATGCCCTATTTCACATAGTCGCTGAAATACAAAAAGCATTAACTAACTAAAAATCCAAAATTCACGTTTTGATTGATTGTGGCAGGGACATAACAGTTATAAGTTTTATCAGAAAATCGCTTTTTTTATTGCTCTATTATAGTTATAATCATGATAAAAATATAGTAAGGTAGAACCGCTGAGAGTCACTTTTAAAATTCTTGACGTTTCCAAACAATTTAATTTTTAAATTTACTCACAAACTCACACACACATTTTCATTTTCAATCTCAAGCAACAACAATTTCGAACAATTTCAATTTTTTATTTTCACTTTTATATGATTTTAAAATGTTGGCAAACTTCAAAAAAAAATCATGGCCGACAAATTGAGAGAACGGTTATACCTTGCTATGTTTTTATCATGGTTATTACCAGGTACAACTGTTCTCTCATTTTGTCGGCCATGATTTTTTTTTTTGAAGTTTGCCAACATTTTAAAATCATATAAAAGTGAAAATAAAAAATTGAAATTGTTCGAAATTGTTGTTGCTTGAGATTGAAAATGAAAATGTGTGTGTGAGTTTGTGAGTAAATTTAAAAATTAAAATGTTTGGAAATGTCAAGGTAACTCAGCGGTTCTACCTTACTATAGGTGCGTTCGACAAGTCAAAAATTTGTAATAGGTTTTACAAATTTTTACTGGATGGCGTTCGATAACGACAAAAAATTATCCAACACACAAAAATTGAGAGAGCAAGCGTTCACTTTATGATAGCGCCAACTGACTTTATGATAGCGCCAACTAGTTTTTACTTCTAGAAATGTTCCTGGCGAACATTGAACGTTCACTTTCCTTTTTTCTCTATGGAGGCAACATGAATTTCAGTTTGTTTACAAATAAAACATAAACAAAGTCAGCTGGTGTGTCTTCTTCTTCCGGTTTTTGCAAGTAATGGCTAATTTCCTGTTCGTTTACTTTTTTGCTTTTTCATCTCTTTGGGACAGAATTTTCGCTTACTCTCTTGATTTTGATTGTTGGCTGGTGTTCGCTAATTTTGTTATCGAACGCAACTTATATTTTTATCATGGTTATTACCCAACGATTATTTTGACGCAGTCTGATAACAGTTATTTCACTCTTCATTTTTTGGTTGGGTTCGACAGCACAAAAATTTGTGATAGCTTTTCCAAATTTTTACTGAGTGGCGTTCTATAACGACAANAAATCCACAAAAGAATACATGGCTTGTCCATCAATACGCCATGTATACATTTTAACAACACACAAAAATAGAGCTGTCGCACGAGCGTTTGTTTGGTTTTTCAACACCATTTATAATTTTCTTTTAATAAAATCACGTATTGTCAAATGCTTAAATTTATTTATCTAATAATAATGCAGCACACAACCCTGAAATCTAAGAAAGTCTGAGGAAGGCCATTAAATAGCAGCACACAAGCCCGTGCCTTCCTCAGGAGCATTATGCAGCTCTCAAGAAAACGGTCAAGAAAAATTTCCATTATTTCGTGTGTGTGTCCAAGGAATTTTGACATTTTTGATACCTCACAGCCTGTTGCCTCACTCTTTCCTCAAGAAATAATGGAACGGGCATATATTTCTGTTGCAAACCTGGGTTGCCTTGTGCTCTTTTTTCACAAAAAGCTTTAGCAAACCGTAGTAGAAAGCGTAGTAAATTCCTTAGGAACTGCGTACTGCCTTAAGGAAATTTGACTCAAGAAAATTTCTTAGCCATTTCTTGTACGTCATTTTATATGGAGTTTTTGTTTTTCTTGAGAGCTGCATACAGGCCTATAATCTGAAATGTTTATGCAGTTATTGGCAGCACTTCAAAGAGTCCCTGCAAAAATCGCGACTACGCAATGCATGCGTGTAAAGAGTACTCCCTAAGGATCAAGGAGTACTCCAAAATTAACCACAATTCATAAAAAAATATGGTCCAATTAACATTGCGATGTCCTAGGGCAGGACCATATACTCCATCCCTGCATTACATCAGAGTAGCACAAAACTACTCCAACATATTAACAATGGCATTATTGCTAATTTTTTCGTTTGTACACGCTTTTGTCCTTCACTTCTCAAATGCTTTTTCGAAATTAATAAAAACCAAGCCAAAAATTTAAAATTACGTGTTGCCTCTGATGGCATTCGAACCCGAACATGCTGGGAGCTAAGAACTAACAGCGAGCATTTCTACACGTTCAGCTACAGCCAGACATGCAAATGTGCTTTCAAATGATCAACTTCAATGACATTTCGTTAAAACACGAGCAGTGATCGGATAACAAACAATAAGCTGGCGCAGAGACACGAGTTGGGCCGATACAGCATCACAGAGGAACACCTTTGTAAGTACTCCAATTTAACACAAATAGACTACATGGTCCAACGATTTTTGCAGGGGTAGCCCAAATCTGTTTTTGCAGGGGTTCTGCTTACAAAAATCCAATAAAGGTAACGACCAACCTAATGCATATACATACATACTTATTTATGTACCCAGTAGAAATCGGTTGTATGCATTCTTGAAGGATGCTTGCTATATGAGTGAATTAGTGTGAACAATTCATGCGTAGTCATGAATTTCCACGAATAAATTTAAATTCTAGCGAATTACAAGCGAATGTACGTTGTCGTTGTTTTAAGTACATTTCTTGATAAATTTGAAGTGGAATTTTTGTAATATTTTCAGTCTTGTACAAAAATTTTAGTGAACGGACGTGTTGTGCGATACTATTTTCAGCACAAACGGGCTTTTACAAGATGTGCATTTGCATATGTAAGTGCCACTTGTTTGTATGTCCCCGTATATTAAAATGTAACAGAAAAGTACCATTTACATGTGGGGATCTTGTAAGAATGCTTTAATACTGTTCGTTTAATGCATTTTTGCATGTTTGAAACATTAATACAGCCATATGCATACAACAGTAGTACAAGTTAAATGGAAATGAAGGTTCATTTATACTGGCATGTATACACAGCAGCAAGCTCATGCCACTAACAGCGATGTTGTATGCTTGAGATTTCTACTGGGTACATACATGCATACACATCGTCGTTTAAAGTACAAAACCGCCTATCAACATAATGCAAAACCGCGTAAGTGAGGTTGCACCAATTGTTTTCTAGAGAGTAAAAACACTAAAAATGGTTCTCTTTTTTATAAAACAATCGCATTTCCGGCTGGTATATTTCAGGACGAATGGATTAGGATTGCGCCAACAGCTTGTATGAGCAAATCCAATTTTCGGCAGCAAATGTCAGTTACGCGGGTTGTACTTTAAACGACGATATACATATATGTACCTACTATATAATTTATTGAATATGCTGACCCGCTGGTTCAAAATATTATCAGTATTGACTTTCGCCAGCATGTTGCTTTTAAGAAGCCCCATAAAAGTGTGGAAACACAAACCAGTTCATATTCATATATGTATGTGTACGAGTATTTATTGGACCTATGTATGTGCTCTAGGGATGTTTCGAATGTCATATTTTTCACATTCGCGAATACAAATTCTCGGAATGCGAAATGTCTGCATTAAAAGATTTCCTTTAGAAATGTTCTCTATTTTTAATTTTTAAAATACATGATAAGTCGAGAAATATAACAATTAATTTCAAAACTTGGTAAAAATCTTCTTATATCATGATTTTTGCACTGAACTTTTTCTAGTGAAAGATAAAATTTTATTTTTGTCTCATTACCTAAAAAAAAAACTACAAAAAATAACAAATAGAGGCGTCCAATGTCGTTGTTTTTTCCCCCTTTTGTTTGAGAATTGAACAGGATTTAAGCTGCATTTACAAAAGCCACTTGTGGACATTCTGGCCCCTATTATGATTTGCATTCGATTTTCGACTGTGGTCGAAAGTGCTGAGCGAACGAATTTGCATTTGGTATTATGGCACTCATTCGATGAAGAATAGCGCTATTGTGAATTTCGCTCGTTTAGGTTGTTCACAATAGTATATTTTTCACCGCTGAGAAGCTTTGTTTACAAATCGAGCAAACTAAATAGTGTGCTTATA